TTTCCTGTCTATAACAATGTGCAGTTTTCCTGTCTATAATGTTCATGCAACTTTTAAGTAACTACCTCTGTGCCAAGTAATTATTCAATCACAAACAGCAGAGTGTTTTTACAACTAGAGATTTATTCAAAAAGCCATAGGTGGGGTTGGTGGCATGGCTCAAGTTGTACAGTGCCTGCATAATATATACCACCAAAAAAAAAAAAGCCATAGGTGAATTCTGGTGTTCTTGAAAAGTCCAAACTTACCTTGTAAAATGAGATGTGGAAATTTTAATTCAATATACAACAGTCAAATACTTGCCCATATTTTAAATGTAATTTTTGTTACTAGATGCAAAAAGTATATGTCTACTATCATAAATTTAATCTTGAAGCTGTATTTTAATAATTTATTTCCTTTGTAATGTTATACATTCTAGTTTATGGTTTTAAAAAAATCATCATACTGAGAAGGGCTTGCTTCAAAGGCTTCCTTTACCCAGATTTCCAAAGGGATTCATAGAGTAAGAACAAAACTTTAAGAAACTGTGGTTAAAGATTACGTAACATAGGAAAATCTTCAGAATCTCAATAGGATAAATTTACTGAGTAAAATTTAGAAAGAACAACAAAGGGAAAAAACTGATAAATGTTGTAACATTAAAATTAAGTATCTCTATTCATCAAGAAATACTATTAGCAATGAATGAATAAGCAAGTAATACAGTGGGAGAGATCTTTGCAAAACACATAATTGACAAAGAGCTTATAACCAAAATAAAGAATACCTACAAATCAAGAAGAAAAAGATCAACAATCATTTAAAAAACAAGCAAGGGACTAACAAGTCATTTCCTTTTAAATTGGTAATCTAAAAACACTCCATAAAACATGAAAAGGTATTTAACTTCATTAATAATATACTTTAAAACTACAATGAGGTAACACTCGGCACCCACCAAACTAGTAAGTTATTTTTTATTTATTGTGTGGGTAAAAGTGAGCATTAATCCTAGGGAACACACACAATCTGCCCCACATCCCACCCTCCACTCATGCCAGAAGCAAAAGCCTGAATTACTGCATTTCTGGCTACCAAAAGAAAAGAAATGTCATAGCAATCCTGTCCCTAGGGCTGGTATTCCCACTTGCAATGGCCCAGGAAGCACACTTTGAAATCAACCCAAGGTGCATCTCTGTGGAGTAACTTATGGTTTTCCAACTTCTTATCCCCTTATTGTTTTATGAGTTGGGGGGAATGAATGCAGAGCTTTCAGAAATCTATTCATCAGGACAATCATCACCCAAATTTGAACTTTCCACTTCCAGTGAAGGCAGCATTTTTAAGCCTGAGTTTAGATAGCAGGAGGCTGCAGGGTCAGCCCTCACATGTTTCAACAGCCTGTTAAGAGTTTGGCAAAATTCAAAACTCCAGGGAAGGGGCTATGAAGCCTGATTCCTACTCTCTGCCTCAGTTGGATGTGGTCCTTCCAGGTGGATCCAGACATCCAATTGGCTACCAGGGATGAAAATTCACATGATGCCAGACACTTGGTTATTCAGAAGCCTTTGAAATCTCCCATATTCTGGTTTTATTATTTTGTTTATTGTGGTACTGAGGATCGAACCCAGGGCCTTGTGCATGCTAGGCAGACACTTAACCACTGAGTTACATCCTTAGCTCTGAACTCGCCCACATTCTAAAAGAACCTAAAGAATAATGGCTGACTGGACAAGTCTTTCTGCACAAAGTTTATGCACCAGCAAACTTACAAGTTTAAAAATCTGACCATATCAGTGTTAGCAAGAAGCAACAAGAACTCCCATACATTACTCATGAGAGTGTTAATTAGTACATCAGCATTGGAAAACTGATTGGCATTATCCACTAAGGTTAAAGATACACATAACCTGCATTTACCCAGTCAATTCTAGTCCTACATACACACTCGAGAGAAATTCATATACATGCTAACAAACATTCACTGCAGCATTACTTAATACATATCAGAAGTGCATGGCAGATTAAGGAAAAAGAATGAAGTATTCAGTAAATAGTACTACGCCAACATCCACTTGAATAAAATAACAGAGAATGTTTTTTATAGCATCAGAATAAGTGTTTTCTAAACAGGATTCAAAACTACATTTCACCTATCATATAGTATTGATATCTTAAAATCTTTATCTTTTAAAAAAAAGTTCTGAAATATTTATAGATGACTGACATCAGGAATATGAACCAAAATAATATAACTGAGGGAGGGGTGGTATACATAAGACAAGACTGGCTAGTAGCAACTGTTCAGCCTGGGTGTATGAGTTCATTGTACTTTTCCTCTACTTCTGTTCATACTTGAAAAAAAAAATAATGTAAGGTATCATAAGAAAGGGAAAGACAACACAGAGAACATGTTTACAACATATAGAAGTGAAGGGATCAAGGTCAGAGAAGACAAAGAGCTCATATTCATATCCAAAACAGGGAAACTGAGGTGGGAGGAGTTGTTGAGTACAGGCTGGGCAACAAGGAAGGAAAGGAAGAAGGGAGGGAGGGAGAGGAAGAGGGAAGAAAGGAAATGGGGAGAAAGAGAGAGAGGGAGAGAAGGAAAAGAGGGAGGAGGGAGAGTTTAGAAGGACCCACATCTGAATAAGAAAAATAACAGAAAGGAGGTAATGTAAAATAACCTCCCATAACTCAAGGCCATAAGCAAATATTTAGATTGTACAGGTCTAACAAAAAGCTTGCACAAAAAGTCTTTATCCCTTAGAGATACATACTAAGATATTTCTAGATAACTGACCTGTAACACAGACATCATGAAATTTCAGAACTCTAGGGATAAGCAAAAGACCCTCAAAGCTTCTGTAGCTAGAGATGAGGGAATGCAGTCAGGATGGCACTGTACTTCTCAGTAGCCATGCTGGAAGCTAGACAGCAAATTCTGAAGGACAATGATTTTTAACCCAGTTCTATCACCAGTCAAATCAAGCATAAACAAAGAGGAAATTTTTTTCAGCTGGGTGTCACACCTGTAATCCTAGCTCCTTGGGAAGCTGAGATAAGGAAGATTGCAGTTCAAGGTCAGCCTGGGCAAATAGTTTGAGAGACCCACCCCACTCCCCATCTTTAAAACCAGAGCAAAATGGACTGGAGGTGTGGCTCAAATGGTAGAGTGTCTGTTTTGCAAGTGTGAAGTCCTGAGTTCAAACCCCAGTGCCACCAAAAAAACAAACAAACAAAAAAAAAAAAACTCAAGGCCTCAAAAATGTTTACTGAAGAACCTAAAATATTAAAACAAGAAGAGAGGGAGATAAATAATAAAATAATACTAAGAATAGGGAAATGAACAAAGGAGAAAGGTAAAGAGAATTTCCAAGGTTAGTAAAAGAAAATCTCAAAATATTTTGCTGTTTTTAGATTAGAGAGAAACAACTAAGCCAGATTTGAGCAAAGAAAACATGTTTCCAGGATATTTCTTATGTGGGATTACAATGAGAGATGATGCAGTCTGTGGGCAATTCTGGGGATGAATTGCTTTGAAAACTAAGCAAAGAGTAAAGGGATTACTACTATCAAGGTAATTATTACCTATGAAGAGTATTTTATACAATACTAATAATACAAACAATAAATACCAACTTTACCAGGTATTATGGGATACCTATATCAGGAAGATAAAAGAAAGGGAAATACATATGTGTAGGTGTTAGGGGTTGGGTTCATCAGCTAAAAAAATTAAGTTTCAGCTTCCATAGTAGGAAGGCAAGAAATAATACATAAAGCTTGTGTGTGGCGGGGGGAAGGGTGTTGAGGAAATCAAGAAATGAGAGCACCAGGATATTATTTAGGAACATGGAGGGACATAAATTCAGCTTGACAAACAACTGCCTCCAAGACATGGGATATATGAGTGGGAAAAGGCAGGACACTTGTGGCTTACACCTGTAATCCTAGCTATTCAGGAGGCAGAAATCAGAAGGATTGAGGTTCAAAGCCAGCCCTGGGCAATTAGTTCACAAACTATCTCAAAAATACCCAACAGAAAAAAAGGGCTGGAGGAGTGCCTGATAGCAAGTGTGAGGCCTGAGTTCAAACCCTAGTACTGCAAAAAAAAGTGGGTAGAATGAAGCAGAAAATTCTTTTCATTGTGAATCCAGTAGTGCAATTCAACTTTTTAAATAGAACTATATGTGCTATTTGTAAACATAAATAATTAATTTTTAAAAACTTACATGAACTAAGGTTGAATAATAATTTCCCAAGTCAGAAGTATCTGTGGAGAACATAGCAGGTCTTTTACATATTTCTTTCTTGCAGAGGACTGAACCCAAGAGAGGTAACTGAATTCAACCCCCAGTACTCTGGGGAGCCGACAGGTGTATCAAATTAGCTGCAGGTTTGAGTTTGGCATAGCCCTAAACTGCAGAAGGGAGCAAGTACAGTTACACCCAATAAATTGCACCTTGAGTTGGCCCAGCCCCATCTGCAGAAGTGGGCAAGATGCAGCTGTTTCTTCCTAAGATGTTTTGTTTAGAGAGAAGCTGTCACAGGTTCCTCCTGTTCCCAAGGATTACAATGTCACATCCCCTCCCCCAAAAACTGCCTCTCCACCTCCTGTTGCCACTGTATATAATAAACTCACTGGAGGTGGGGAGGCTGGTGTGTCTCCATCACAGCATCCAGCCTACCTGGCCCCAGCTTTATGCATGTTTGGTCTTCTATCTGTTGTCTTTTTTGCATTTCCCATCGCCCCCAGTTGGGGTTATAGGACAAGTTCCCATGGGACTTGAGACAGTACCAAGTTAAAAAAAAAAAAAAAAAAAAAACCCCAAGCGAGGCAAGAGTTCTATCACTGAACTACATCTCCAGCCTCACAACATTTTTACTATTTCTTAGGCCAGCTTTGCCTGGAGGAGAAGTATTCCATTTTTACAGGGGAGAAAACCAAAAATGAAGATGAATAAGGAATACTTCTGACTGTTTTGTTTCTTTTGGTTTTTTGTTTGGTCCTTTACCTTTCCAGCAGTGGCAAAGTATTCACCATCAGGAGACCATTCCATCAAATGCACAGATACTGAGGTTCTTTAAAAAAAAAAAAAAAAAAAAGTTACCATTTTTAAAATTTGGCACACTACATAAATAAATGTCCAAAATAAAATTTTCATAATAAAGTTACAATGATCAGAACAAAAGTGTTTCCACCCCCTACAAATATAAACAAATATTTCACTTTCCTAAAAATAATTAATTGAAATGAACCCAAAGTTCACTTTACAAATCCAAAGTTCACTTTATAAAAGAATGTTATGTAACATGTTACATGGTATCTACAGTTACCATCCATGGCACCCTAAATATAAACTGAGCCCCTCATAGTCCCTGACTGATTAGTCCTCTTCCCATAATCCACATTAAAGTTAATGGCTCAGCCATCTTTCCAACTGAAAACATGGCTGGCAACTTCAACCACATCTTCCCTTCTTATTTGTGTCTCATTAATAAGTAAATAATTCCTGGGTGTCAATTCTGGCAGCCCAAGCTCTGGAGCTATAACTATGAAAATACTATCCCTTTTCTGAACAATTAACTATAACACAGACTGAAGAATAACATAATGGGTTTTGGTTAGAAAAAATCTATTTTCTAGGCTCCCATATGCAATGATATCATCAAAAAGTTCAGATCTTTGTAAAAGGGAACATAATTGAGGAAGCATTTTTATTTACCAAACAGAGCAACAGAGTTAGACACTAACTTGCACTGCCAGACGCACTTCCAATCATTTAAAACAGGAAGAATTTTATTATCAATTTCTTCCTCCTCTTCCAGAATATCACCTCCTGGAGGAGCCCACAACTGAATAGACTCAGTTGCTGTCAACAATCTGTTATCTGAAAATTAAAGAATGCACTGATGAATAAGCA